GCAGACAACATTATTGGATGAACTTTTCAAATTTTCTTAAACATTTTCAGTTTAACAAAAAAAATCTCCTTTCAAGTTAAATTGAGATTGCACTTGAACTTCATCCAAGAGTGGAGCTGAACTGAATTATGATAATTAGAAAGCTGTGCCTATAAAAAAGCAGTACAGTTCATGCATTTTTTCTTAAAGTTCATGCCAGAGAATATAAGTTCAATATGTTCTCACATAATTAACATTTCCCACCATTAGCAGCCGTTTTTCAGTTTATATATCAGTAAAAACAACAGCACTGTCATTGTTGTATATTCCCAGTCAATAGTGCTCCAGTCACTTTACACAGACTCCTAAACCTGTCAGATGCCTAGGAGCAACCAGAATTTCCCACTGGAAACAACAGTGGTGCTTCACTTATTCATCAATGAGCTGGCTTTTTCTTATAAACTCATTTTCCAATTCTGGGCCCTGTCCCTCAAACTAAAAGGGCTAATGAAATCCTAGGACAGAGCCTTAAACACTAATGTGAAAAAGGGCAGAAAGATTTTGTCAGGATAGTAAATACTGATTTTAAACAACGTATGGTTGGGAAAGGGGTGGGTGGGATACAGCCAGGATGGATCCTTCCCATGGCCTGCCACAAAAGTAGAAAAGACAGCTTCTTATAACCCTTATCCAATCAGAAGAGAGACCAGTGGTTTCAGTTAGCTAGGACTCACTCCCAGGCTATGGAAACTATTTTCTGAGAATCCTCCTATTCATGCAAAAAGCCAGTGGACAAAAAGAGAACCTAAGAGCTGAGAGTGACCCACCCTATAAACACACTGTCCCAAAAATCCACTCTTCAGGAAATCCCACTTGCTTTGACAAAAATGAAAATACTTATTTCAAAATCCTCTTATTCTGACCACTACAAAGCCCAAATATATCTGAAAAAAAGAGGCTGAATATCAACTCAAGTTCAAATATGGAGTAGGGTCAAGGAAGCCATGATGATAATCTTACACATTGAAGATGCACAACAGCTCACAGTTTTGAAACAAAACAATTTGAATACCCACACAAAACACTCCAGATATTTAGATCCAAATATTCTAGCATTCCAAACTATCCTATAAGGCAGGCCTGCAACGTCCCTGATTTCAGAAGCATAGAGTAATTGCAATACAAGGGGGTCTAAACTGGTATTTGTCAAAAAGTCCAACCCTGAAACATTAAGTGTTTAGGATGGACTTAATTACTTGATTTTACCACCTTTGCGAGGTGAAAAAATAAAGTATGTCACTGATATTGTTCAAACATTATTTAGGATCTGACTTAAATACCACAGGGTAATCCGTGGCTTCTACAGATAAAATAAGAAAACCCACCACACAGCTAGAAAAGATTACTGCAGCGAATAGCCCAGCAGCAGAGCCTAAGTTTGTCAAAGGGCAATAAGCTTACAATATTCTTTTCTTGCCGAGTCCAGAATTAGGACATTAGCACTCTGCAGTTCCAGTCACTGAACTCTGAAAGAGAATCTGTAATGCCCGCATTTATCTACGGAAAGGTGGGCTCTGATTTCCTTGCAGTCTAGAGATAAAAGTGAACAGTTAGTTGCTCTGGCCAGTATTCTCCAGTCTTTGGAGAAAGCAGACCCAAGAAGTTTTATCACTAAACAGATCCAACATCCAAGCACAGCTTTCACTCAGCAACACTTATTTCTCCTGTTGCAATCTCTTTACTGGGAACAAGACAAAGTACCTAAAACACAAGTCTGAAAGTTATCTACCTACTGTCTGTATGTGAACATGATCATTCTACATGTGGATCATACATGCCGTTATTTGCACCAATCTTTTGAGTGATAAGAAACCACAATTTTCATTTGCAGGCAGTATAATTATGCCCACAATTAACACATAATAACATGAGATTAGAGAGATTAATCCCCCATATGCACAGGCTCTTGTACTACTGCCATGTATGAATAGATCAATCCATTTCTGGAGCAAGAAATCTTAAAATATGGTTAATGGCATGGCTCATTTCTTCAGAGGGCTAGCAAACCTTTGGGAATCTACATTCTTTCACTGTACCTATTGCATACTTTTCCACTGAAGATGTACCAGCAAACATGATCTAGACACAAGTGACAGACTACAAGTATGTTCTTCTCAAATTTTCATGTTTAAGAAGCACCCTCTTAGACTTGCTGTTCTATATTCTCAAAGCCAGCAAAATTCAAAATTATTTATAAATGACTGAAGCTCAAGCAGCAAAAAATCCAGAACTTTTCCCCTTATGACTTTTTCTAAATAAAAGGGGATGGAAGTCCCCAAAATGAATGTATGGATTTATAATTGTTACCATACAAAGCAAAAGAGAGGGAGAGAGGACGGGAGGAAGAAACTGACTTCCCCCAGGCTGCCCCCCACCAGAAAAAGCCCTGTCCTTATGGCTAATTAGTTTGCTGCTGGGGCATAAGCACACACTGACCCACAAGGCAAGGCAGTGCCTCTCCGTGAAAATTTCATTCCAATCTGACTCAAAGTAAGCTAGGTCGCCCCCTCTCTTTAAATTAAATTTAAGTATATGTGGTGGTGAGTCCTGGTTTATGTTTTGGGAAAAGGGAAAAAACCTCCAATAATCTCTCAAGCATGTTCTCTGAATGGAGTTCTACTTGTTACTTTTATAAAAGATCACACAGAGGAGGAACGTGCACAAAGATTCTTTCCTGTGATATTTTTTACACTTACTGTCAAGGCAAAATGTCACAGTGGTTTTGTTTCCAAATCGTAAAAAAGGAAAAAAAGGAAAAAAAGGAAGAAGAGGCATTGTAATAGAAGGGAAGAAAGGTATTTAATAGTCCCCTAAAACTGCAGATCAAATAAATACTATTAAAGTAGAAATAAAATGATCTACATTAGCACTTTTATTCCATCAGCAAGAACAAGTAACGGACACAGTTAATCAGTTCATTTTTTATACCAACAACAAATAAAATTGTGAACTCTGTTTAAAACCTGAAACCTGAGAGTTCAACACAGTTACACAGACGAAGAAATACTAAACAAAATTATCTGTGACCATTTATGGAAATAGTGAGATTAGAAAATAAGACTTTCCCCGAAAAAATAATGAATTCAAAACCTCTCTACTGACAATGGTTCAACTAATCCATTTGTCTGAGTCCCTTCGTAATTAGTTCTACTATTTCCTAAGAGTAAAAATTTTCACCAAAGTTGCATCTAAGTTTGGCCCTTGGAAGCATTCAGATGCACTTAGGCCCAAAGATCCTGGATTTATAAGGGCACAAACTCAATAGTGAAAGGATGAAGCACAGCCTGAAGTATGGTCCCCAACCAGTCTCAGAGTACCCTGCTAGAGAAACCCCTGTGATTATACACCAAGCAAGATCCACCGCAGGCTGCAGAGAAAGCAGCCCACCCCCGGCTCTGACAATGCAGCCAGATCACATCTTCCAGAAGCGATCTGTCAATTCAGGTAACCCCCTGCAGGCACCCAGTCCAGGACAGGAGATCTGACCACCTAAACTTTCGGAACAATCAAGGTGAAGGGTAGGGAAGAACTGCGGTTGTCCTGAACTGATAGTGTTCTGCTCCTTTGCAATACCTGTAGCATTTTTATTTTTATTTTTTTATTTCTCTTCCAATTTGAAATCTGATAGGTTTTGCAGACTTTTCTGTCCCCGAAGCTGGGCTCCTTCTAAGGCACTGTTTTTAAAACACGGCCTTTTTACATTACCCGCTCCTGGAACATCATCTGTCTCTAAGTTTCCAGTGCTTACTGAGGTCGATTTTCATTTCTGCAAATCACAGGCAGCCACTTGCTTCTGAGAAGTTAACAAGCCTCCTGAGAAATGCTGGTGACTGGTATTTCATTGTTTCATAAATATTTTTATACAGTGACACCATTCAATTTTAAATAAATCTTTAAAAAGAAAGACAATTAAAAAAACAATGATAATTATTATCTGCATTTTATTTATTTTCGTGGGAGGAAATAAATTTATAGAAACGAGGCGTGATCCCTCTATTGTTTTCGACTCACTTTAAATGCTTCAGGTTGAAAAAAATATAAAACATTTTTTTAAAAGGGGGAGCTCATTAGAAGTTGAACTTTCTTAAAAGCGGGCCTCTGGACTTGAAAACAAGTGTTGCTGCTACGAACAAAGGCGAGAAGTGCACCAAGATTTTCTTCCCTCCTGGGGATCAATTCTCTTCCAATAAACAAACATCCCCCAGTATTTCCTACCGAAGGGAAGTTTTCCAGGGAGAGTCTCCTCCAGGATTTGGTGGTAACTGCGACTCAGTCTTTTTTGGACACAATGTTTCTGCTGACTCCTGAAAATTTTCCACTTGAATGTGCAATGAGGCAGCGGAGGCGGCAGCAACTGTCCTGGAGAAGCGGCAAAGAGGGCCGAGCCCCCTTTCATCTTTGGAAAGGAGCGAACCCCCACCAGCAGCGCAAGTCGGCGCAGACCCCGGGCGGGCCTCGGGGGACCCCGGCGCCTGGAGGGCCGGAGAGGCGAAGTGGGGAGATCCGCCCGGCTTCAGGTTCCGAGGCGGCCCCGGCGGCTCTCCCGCCCGCGCTCGCTCCGAACTTCTGACTTCTCCGGAAAAAACGTGAAAACTGCCCGAGGGTGTGTGCGTGTGTGCGCGTGCAGGCGGGCGGGCGCAGGGGGCGCGGGGGGCGCGGCTCAGCCGGCCCAGCGCCTCCGGGGCCGCCGGCGGGGGCCGCCTGTTGCCGCGAGGGCTCCGCAGCGCGCGGCCCAACTTGGCGTCCCGGCAACTGGCGCGGCGGCGCCGGGCCGCTCACCTAGAAAGGGGCGCGGGGAGGCGGGCGCGGGGGCCGGCCCCGGCCCTCGGCGCGCCCGCCCGCACGCTCGTCGCACACAAAGCAGAGCCCCGAGAGAAAGAGCAGCCCGAGCGGGTCGCGTCGCCGGCCCCCGCCCCCCGCGCGCCCCCCGCACCCAGCATCCGTCCCGCGCGCCAACTTACCTCGGCGAAGGGAGCCTCCGCAGCACCCGGCGCGTCCAAGGCAAACTTCGGCGCCGCTTCCCCCGCCCTCCGCTCGGTGCCCGGCTCCCGGTCCCCAGGCTGGGCCACCCGACCCCTGCCTAGCACCGTTCCTGCCCCGGGGCCGCCTGGCCGCACTGAGCTGCTGCCCGCGGCTCCGGGCAAAGGTGGATGGGGTGGGGGGGCTTCACTGCATGGCCTGTCCCTGGACGCGGCCGCCCCGGGCCCGGGCCCCACCGCGCGGACTGCCCCGCAGGGTGGAAGCGAGTCTGCAAAGTGCTTGGTGGGCGCCCGCGGCGGGCGGCGGGGCCGCGGCGGCGGCTGCAGAGGCTCGGCTCGGCTCGGGCGGCGCGGCGCAGCGCGAGCGATGTTAAGAATGTTCGGAATGAGGACTGGAATGAAATGAACGCCAGGACCGAACTCGTTCCGGAGGGGTGGGGCCTTGGTGACGTCATGCGGCCTGCCGCCCAAGGGCCAGGGGCGGGGCCTGCCGCCGCAGGTGACGTCATGGGGATTCTGGGCGGGATCGGCCCGGCCGCCTAGCCGTTGGGGCACGGACTCCTCCCGTAGAGGAGGCGGGGCGGAGTCTCGCGCCCACGGGGGAGCGGGGCGCGCGCGGGACCCGCCCTACCCCCCTCCTGGCGCTGGCTCGGGGCTTTGTCCGGAGCTGGGCGGGGCCGACGAGGGGAGGGCGGCTTGGAAGTGCTTGCGCCCGAGCGGAGAGCTCTGGAAGCCTGGGTTCCCTCTTTGGGGTGTGCGCCTAGGCCGGAGCTACGCGCGCCGCCCCAGCCCTGCCTCGGTTTCCCTCACCCGGGACGCGGAAGCTCGGGCCGCCGCTTAGAGCGCTCCGGGACTCGCTGAAGTCTGCAAGTCTAGGGAAGAGAAGTTTTCTTCTGGAAATTCATGTTCTCCAGCGCGGTGGACGCCTTCCCAGGACCGGATTCCCAGCCTGCCATTTCTTCCCCTCTTCTCTTTCACTTTGTAGAAGTTCAGTGCTCTCATTCAAGTCTAAGTCTGCCCTACTGCTGGGAAGAGAAACTTTAGCACAACAGAGAAAGGATAATTACAGAGTTCGTAATAATCTTGCCCTGCTAGCACGGTCTTACCCAAGTCATTCAAGAAATTGACATCCCTGAGGGTTTTAGTTTTCGAATGTAATGGGTCAGGTAAAAACTCCGTAAATTTTAAAGTGCTACATCCAGCCACTTAACGGCACTCCTTTTTTGGTAGATAAACTTGACTTGCATAATCAAAGAATAATTTTTACCCTGCTTTTGGAAGTAGTGATGCAGATGTGACATAGTAGACCCAGGGGGTAAATCAGAAAACAGCTGGGTAAAGTTGACCCACTGTAGCAGAACTGTCTCAAGTTTTGGGTAATTGTAATCCACAATTTGAGCGAAAGAGCAGAGCAATTCCTGTACCATTGACCCCTTTCCTTCTAGGCACTTTGCTCTCCTTTCCAGTTGGCGTCTCAGGCTAAATAATGATGCCTGTTTTATGTGCCCCAGGTGGAATGTGTCTCACTGCGGCACAAATTTCCACAAAACATAACTTGTAGGAATGCATTTGTTCAATTGAAGTTTTTGTTGAGGTAATTGAAGATTTGCAAGCAGTTGTAAAATAATAATAATAAATAGAAATCCTTTGTTCATTTTGCCAAATTCTCCCCAGTAGTAATATCTACCAAATTATAATATCACAATTGGGATATTAACATTAGTGTAATCCACAGATCTTATTCACATTTTGCCCAGTCTTGCTTGTTCTCATTTGTGTGTGCTTGCATTTAGTTCTACGTAAGTTTCTCATCTATGTAGGAATCCACCGCTGGTCAGGTGCTAATGCATTTCATCTCTAGTCTGCATGCAATAAGAAGGTGATACAATGAGGTTCCCACTAATGACCCCAACCACCTTAGCTCTGGTTTTTGGAAATGTTTAAAAAAAAAAACACATAATTAATTTGACATTAAAACTATACTACACATATCTCTCTCCAAATATCTTCAAAAAGCCAGTAGAGTTTGATGGCAATGCCAGACAGACAGTAGATCTGGCATTTCTAGGCCACTGTTGGTTGGCTCAGTGTACCTGGACACCTTTCATACTCCAGGTCCCATCTCACAGTCACACTGACAATACAAGGTCCCCTATTCCTTACCAAGTTAAGGAAAAATTCCTTGGCCTGGGATACAAAGCTTTTTATGACGTACTATGGCTTCCTGACCAGCTTCTCCCATCTACATGAATACTTTTTGAGACACATCTTGAAACTCTTTTCATCCAGAAACACTATTCAGTTAAATATTTTCTCCCAAGAATCCTTAAAGCTCCTTGCTCCAGTTCTTGTATTCTGTCAGTTACCAGTGCACTGGGACGCTCCCATATCTGAGTCCCTAGAAAGTGGACTAGATCTCATGCAGCTAAGTTTTCATGGCTGGGAACCTACACATAAATGGCAGTAACTCTTGTGGTCTTTCCACCCTAACTTCCACACATTTTCACTCTCCTCAGCCGCCCATGGGCAGTGCATAGCATTTATGGGTTTAGGGCTCAAGAGCTGTTCACCCCCAGCATCTGAAGGGGTGAGTAGCTGCCATTTGCTAAAAATAACTGCAACTACCATGTAATACACTCATACTCAGCACTTGGTGTTTTGTATTTGCCAGCTCAATTAATCCTCATTGTACCTGTACAGGTAATAATTATTAGCCACATTTACACAGGTGAGGAACTGAGGTGTAGGGAGGTTATATGACTTGCCCATGGTCTCATAGCTGGGAGAGAATGGAGCCAGGGCCTGAATTCCTTCTGACTTCAGCCCATGTTCATAACCACTGTCCTCTACTGCCCCCAAAACTGAAAGGGATATATATATCAAACCATAGAATGCCCAGCACTGTTTTAGTACATTCCATATATTATCTCATTTAAGCCCCCCAGTTACCCTATGAGGCAGGTACTCTTATTATTCTCATTTTATTACATGAGCAACCTGAGGGCCAAAGAATTAAAATAATTTGGTTGGCATCATACAGCTAGAAAGTACAGAGTGAGGATTCAAACCTAGGCAGTCCAGTTCCAGATTTTACACTCTTAACCTTCCGTTCAGCCATCCAAATGCACTACTACACTGAATGCAGAGGATTCACCATCTGCAAGGTGACCTCCCCTGAGATTTAACAAGTCTATGTAGGTTATATGTTTCACCTATAATGAATGAGTGTTTACAACCTCCAAGTCTTACCAATGCAGAACCTAACTTGTAACACATGAGAGAAACAGTGATCCATTTAATGGTAACAGGTCATGCTGAGACAGAAACTCTGAGTTGGCCTGAAGCTAGAAAGGACAATCCGTGGGTTAGAACTTACCCAAAGGAAGCACCTAGCTTGGGAAGACAACTAAAGGTATATTATTAATAAAAATGATACAGTTTGTCTCATTTCTAATAAAGCTGAGCACCTTGCTTGTAGGAGTATTAATTGGCACAACCACTTGGAAAAGTAGGTATTCACTAGTTAAACTGTAGGTATGTATACCCTGTGACCCAGAAGTTCCTCTTAGAAATACAGCCAAGAGAAAATCAGGTACATGTGCACTAGAACACACATATAAGAATGTTCACTGGGGCATTTTTGTAATAATGCCAAACAAGAAATGACCCACATGTCCACTAAGGGTAGAAGGATCAATGAATGGTGATATAATCATGCAATGGAATACTGATGAGGTTGAAAATGAGTGAGGGACAGCTATGTGCAACAACATGGATGAATCTTAAAAATATAATATTTAGTGAAAGAAGCCTGAGATAAAAGAATCCATGTAATGTAACTATATATAAAGTTCAAAAGCAAGCAAAATTTAACCACTTTGGGGGGATATGTATTTAGGAGGTAAAACTGGAAAGAATTTAAAAAATAGAACATGGAGTAATTACCAATAAATCTGGGCTGTGCTTACCACTAGGAATAGGGAATTGTGACAAGGAAGAGAAACATGGGAGAGGGGGCTTCTGAAGTGCTGGCAATGCTCTATTTTGTCTGGTTATATGGATTTCACCATAATGATTTCTTAAGCTATGTACAGTAGTCCCCATTTATCTATGGGGGATCCATTCCAAGACCCCCAGTGGGTGTCTGACACCATGGATAGTACCAAACTTTATATATATACTTTGTTTTTTCCTATACTTGCATACCTATGATAAAGTTTAATTTATAAAGGAGGCATAGCAAGAGATTAACAATAATAATAAAATTAAATAATCATACTGTAATAAAAGTTATGTGAATGTGGTCTTTTTCTCTTCCCATATATCTCATCATACTATACTCATCCTTCTAGTGATGATGTGAGATGATAGAAATGCCTACCTGATGAGAGGAAGGTGAATGATGCTACTGACCTTCTGACACTTCATCAGACAGGCTCGTCTGCCTCTGGATCATGGTCCATGGGTAACTGAAATTGAGGAAAGTAGCTGCAGATAAGGGAGGATCGCTGTATTTGTTTTAGGCACTCCTTTCTACATATCTGTTATACTTCACAATTTTTAAAAAGTTAAAATAAATGTTAAAGAGAGCTATCAATATTCAAATGTCTCCCTTGTGCCTAGAACTTGACCTGGTTCTGAGTCTTGTCCCTTCTCACACTTGCATAATCCTTTCAGGACACATCATTCCCTGTCTTCCAGATCTTCAACTTCATTCTGGACTGGATCCTTTCCAGCAGCGTTTAAACAAATGGAAGAATCCTTCCCATCTTAAAAACAACAGAAAATATCCTTCTATTGCTCTCACCTCAACCCCAGTTACTGTCCTTTCTCCTCCCTTCCACGGTAAACTTCTGAAAGGAACTGTCTGACCTCACTGCCTCCACTTTTTTGCCTCCCACATTCCTTGACCCTCTCCAATTGGGCTTCTGCCTCTAACACTTACTCCATCAAAACAGACATCCTGCTAGTCCTCAGGACTCAGTTCAGCTAGTCCAATGGGCCTTTCATCTACCCCATCGTGGGTCCTTTGACATTGTTGACCATCACCTCTCTGAAACAATCTCTCCCAGGCATAGTCTCCTAGGTTTCCTCCTACTTCTCTGACCTTTCCATTTCGTTTTCTTTTGCTGATTCATTTTCCTCCAGCTAGCTATTAAGTCTTATAGCTCTGTATCCTAGGCTTTCTTCTGTTCTCACTTTATGTGTCATCTCCAGGTGGTTCTAGCTAATTCACTCCATTGACTTCAATCACTATTTGTTTGCTCTTGTCTTTCAAACATGTATGTGTCATCCATATCTCTCCTCCAAACTCTGGATGTATATAATTTCCCACTTGACAATCTCATCTGGGTATCTTAAAAGCATGTCAAACAAGCTACCCCCAAACCATGATCTTTCCCTATGCATATGGTCCTCACCAGGTGTTTCCCATCTTTGGGAAAAGCACCAAAAAAACAGATGTCAATCTTGATACATCCCTATCTGCTGAAAATTCTTCAGAAGTGTTCTACCACTTTTAGGAAAAGTCATTTTAAGGCCCTGCATGACC